AATACTTTCACAAATATATATTAAAAGGTAAAGATTTCAGTAGAAAATGGGCATTTTTTTAAATTGAAGAACTTAAAAACTACAAATTACCATCTCATATATGAATAAGTGGTAATCTTCCCTGTTTGAGTGCATTAAACCATCAATGACATCTTTTCAGCTGGAAAATATAAACAGTGAAAGTATAGTAGAGTGTAATGTCAGAAAAGATGACATAGGAATGAATATTTTTAGATATAATTTCAATTAAATAAATTTGGTATAATGAATCAAAATTTAAAGTATATAATTATAATGCAGTGTCATAAATAATGTATATGCATAAATTTTAAGTAAAGTTAAATCAAGTTTACTCTATATTAATTATAGGGAAAATTAAAAACAATTATTTAATAAAATAACACCAATACATAAAAAATTGGTATGAAAATACTGGAGAGATAGGCCATCTTCGTGATATGCTATTGCATTATTAAATACTATACACTGTCCCTATAATGATCACATACATTTGTATTATTAGATATACATAATACATATATATTATTTGTATTATATATTTTATTAATTATCATATTAATATGATCATATATATTTGTATTAATATTTATCATCTGTGTGATCTCATTTAAGATAATTTTTTATTCTTCTTGTTACTTATGTGATGATTTTCCTAAATTAAAACAGAAATTTGTCAATTCAAAAGGGCTTTGTTTCTGAATAAAGAAACAAAAAATTAATGAGACACTAGAGGCAGAAGTAATTTTGGGAAAAATATACCTTAGTTTCCTTAAATATCTTACCTAAATGCAGGACTAAAATTCTTAGTAAAAACATAAATAGTTAAGGGATGAATGTGCTGCTTCCTCTCACCCAGAGGTAACTACTTCGGGTTAAGTGTGTCCACTGAAGCAATAGTAGCAAGAGATCCACACACAGATGATTTTAGCAAGTGAGTTTCACACCGCTGTAGTACTTTTCCTTAATTCCAAGTAAAGGAATAGAGTTTAGAACAGTTGAAAATGTTTGTTATTTCTGACTGCAGATTTCACAGATGCTCAGAAAAAAGGACACAACGACCTTACATTTCTAAGATGGAGCAGTCAAAAGGGGAAAGTCCACTGAGTTGGGAGCACAAGAAACTTAGACAAGGACACTAAAGATAGACTTTATCGTGATGATTATTCTGTTCATGGTAAGGAAACATCTTTCTGTCTCATCAGGATTTTCCAGCTCTCCGCAGACCCAGAGTGCTACCCACAGTGAATGAAGTCCACCTGTCTTTCTCAGGACCAATGTATGTGCACATACCCAAGGAGGTGAGGTGCTGTAATTATATTTAACTAAAAATACAAAAATGTTATATTATCAACTTGCTCTTCATGTAAATAGCTTTCACTAGTGTATACAAAATAACTATTCTCTAAAAAGGATGAGGATACACTTTGATATTTTTATCTAGTGTGCTATGTACGTATGCAAATATTTTCATCATAGATGAAAAAATGATATCGTAAAAACACTTATTGCATACCTACCATAGATCAGGGATTGTCTTACGTATTTCATTTATTATAATTCTTTTAATCCTCACAACAGTCTTGTGAAGCACATATTATTTCATACAAATTGCACATTCAAAAACTAAAGCTCAAGGGCACATCATTAGGAATTACAAGCAGTGGAATATAAAACCTGTCACTATGATTCTGGAGCATATCTGCATTATTTATCAGAAATTTCAAAGCTGTGAAGGTAAGCTTGTTAACTGGTAATTTTAGTCCATCTCCCATGTTGGGGTACAGAGAAAAAAAACATGAATCCACTATCTCTACAAAAGAAATGTTTGCATGCAACATGAATTTTGCGTGGCTTTGAGGATCTAAAGCAAATGCTGAGTGGAATTTGATGCCAGGCTTGGCTTTTCTCATGCACTCTCACAATCTTCTAATATTGTTTCCATTTCCATTTCATTTTACAGGAAAATTTCTGATGTGATCTCAGAAATTTGAAATCATGGACCAAAGCAATAAATCAGGAGTGACTGAATTTGAACTGAACAGTCTTTCAGGTTCTAGAGAGTTACAACTTTTCTATTTTGCGTTTTTCACACTTTCCTACATATGTATTGTACTGGGAAATGTCCTCATTGTGCTCACTGTCATTTCTGAACCAGCACTCCATGCACCCATGTACTTCTGCTTAGTAATCTCTCCTTCATTGATGTATGTTTCTTCCAGGAAAAATACATGAAATGATTCTTTACTTGAGGGCTTCTCTGTGTGGATTGTATCCAAGTAAATGAGGCTTTAGTATCCTAGAGACATTGTGCTTGGGCTTCTTATATATAAAACAAATAGACTGTGGGAGATATTAGTGCTCTTTTGTGGGACTAGAATTACATCACTCTTCTAGGTATCTTGTTATTATTTTGTGAACTGTTGATTTCAGCACTGGTACAGTTACTAAAATAAGGTTTCTTGAAAGTTGTGTCAGCTCATCCAAATGGATTTACATGGCAGAGGGTATCTTTATTGGAGGGGGAGCAGGTGCAGATTTGAACTAAGTATTAAGGTTATTCTGATCCCAAAGTAAAGATACTTGTAGGGACAGAAGTTTATAATTTAACCATTGTTTTTCCCCAAGCAAACAAAATCCTAGAACAACTCCACTATTCCTTAGACAGTTGTAAAGATGTGGAAGACTAGAGATCATTGACCAGAGGCAAAATAAGTGAAACTAAATCTAAATTTTGAGGCAGAGAAAATGGAAAATTTAGATATTGTGCTTGAGTAATCAATCAAGCAAACATGAGTTTCATATAATTATGGTGTCATTTATATATATATGAAATCATATGTGTAAGTAATTGACATATTGTGTTGATGCTGTAGACCTAGCTACTATGCAATAAACAGTACCTTCTTAGTTAGAATTGTCTAAATTGTGTATGTTTCCTGCAGCAGCATAAGGTAAATTATTAGATATTTTATACAGCTAAAAATTCTATTATAATTTGATTACTTTTATAGTAGAATGCCATGAGTAATCTCTGTAAAGGGTGTAGTTTTACATCTTCCATGTTTTTAAGAAAAAATTAAAGCTCAGAAAAAAATAATTAACTTAAAGCTAAATAATTAGTGTGAATTTATACAACCAACCTCAAGCAATACATATATTTTAGAAGGTTAAAGAGAATGTTGTACTTAAAGATTTGTTTAAATTAATGATGGAAAATGACCATAAGACCAACAGATCTGAACTGACTTTACTATTCTACAAAGCCCATGGAAATGCAATTTTAAGTTATTTCTTTGGCCTTATTCCAAAACGGCATATGAGTGAAGTTTTTGACTATAATACATAAAGATTATCCACAAAGTCGAGGACTGATCACACTCTTCAGCACTATCTAGACATTCTTGTGAACTCCTTTCTGTTGTTCAGATATATTATCATGGTCTTTAAAATCTCCTCTCCTTTTTCATTAGCATATGCTTATGTTCTAATAAATACCTTCATCAAGAGTATTGGTACTCATAGATGTCACATACGATCCTTTTCCACTCCTTTCTATCCAGTCTCCCCTTTTTTCAGAGCCCCTTCATAAATGCACCGCATATCTTATACCTCATCCTTAGTATTGCTGTGGATTTATAGCTCTAATCCATTTTTATTTTTCCTCCTTTAGGATCATTTCACAGCATGTCTGTAGCCTGGGTCCATGGAGAAGACCAATTCTTCAGTTGTGTCTGAGTTTGTGTTGCTGGGACTCTCTATTTCTCAGGAACTCCAATTTTTCTTTTTTATTTTCTTCTCCATGTTGTATGTGGTCATTGTGATAGGGAATCTTACTATCATCATCACAGTGGCTTCTGATGCCAGCCTTCACTCCCCCATGTATTTTCTCCTGGGAAACCTTTCCTTTGTTGATATCTGTCAGGCGTATTTGCTACACCTAAGATGATTGCAGATCTTCTGCATGAACACAAGACCATATCATTGAGTGGCTGCATATCCCAAATTTTCTTCATTCACCTTTTTACTGGAGGGGAGATGGTGATACTTGTTTCCATGGCCTATGACAAGTATGTGGCCATTTGTAAACCCCTACACTATCTGATCATCATGAACCAAAGGACATGCACTGTCTTGGTAATAATCTCCTGGGCTGTGGGTTTGGTGCATACATTAAGCCAGTTATCATTTACTGTGAACCTGCCTTTCTGTGGCCCCAGTGTGGTAGACAACTTTTTATGTGACCTCCCTCGAGTGACTAAGCTTGCTTGTCTGGACTCTTTTGTCATTGAAGTACTAATTGTGGTTAATAGCAGCGTTCTTTCCCTCAGCACCTTCTCGATCTTGGTCAGCTCTTACATCACTATTCTTGTCACAGTCTGGTTCAAGTCTTCCAGTGCAATGGCCAAAGCGTTGTCTACACTGGCTGCCCACATCACAGTAGTAATATTCTTTGGGCTGTGCATCTTCATCTACATGTGGCCTTTCACTACCTATGCTGCAGGTAAAGTTCTTGCTATTTTCTACACTGTCTTCACTCCCGCCCTAAACCCGATCATTTACACACTAAGAAACAAGGATATGAAGACTGTCATGAGGAAGATTGCAGCCCATTATCTAACCCCCCCAATTTCTGAAGTGCCACTAGTAGTGAGCTATTCCCTTTATTGAGATGAAAGTCCTTCAAATTTCTCAAATCAGTAATCTTCAATGTATTTTGGTGTCATATCTCAAATGTGGGAGAAGTTATAAAGCATTTAATGGGTACTGACAAATTTTTTCCACCAAGGTATCGCTTAAGCACAAGTTCAGTAGTGGAAATTGAAAAAAAAATTCATGGTGCATATCACTGCTAGTTGTATAAATAACATTTTGAAAAATTACATGACATAGCAAAGTGGTGGCACATGCCTACAATCCCAGGCTGAGGCAGGAGGATCACTGTGAGTTTGAGGTCAGCCAGGACTACATAAGTGAATTCAAGGCCAGCCTGAACTACATAGTGAGATCTTGTCTCAAAACAAAACAAAGCAAAACAAAACAAAACAAAACAAAACAAAACAAACAAAAACTAAAACAGTGGCAGGAAGAAAACCTCTCACCAGCATCATGGGGCTTTGAACAAGGTTGGCTGCCTCATACTCAATTCATGGATTGAGATGAATGAAAGAACATGTACTATGTAGTTTGTTCTAGTCAATTTAGAACACCAAAGCATTACAGAAGGGGATTTATTTCAATGCTAAGTGAGTTACTTTCTCTAATTTGGGTTCAGCTTTCTTTGTAGGTGGTTCCTAAAAAGGTTATATTAAATTTATTAAACAATGAAAATCGATGTACCAAGACATCCAGAAATTATGTAATCTTGTCACTGTACTATTATTTACTACTCAGGCACCTGTAACAATTTTTGGTCAGCCATTTCTTGAAAACATGACAACTGTCATAGCTGTTGTTCTCAAGAAGCAGAATGAACACATATAGGTTTCTCTCTATAGTATATTTATGATTGAAAAATTTATTCCCTTCGTATTAACAAATATAAACACTTTTTTTGTTTCTGAGAATGTTTTGTAAAATTAAAATTTGGTGAATGTAAAATTAAAGTTTGGTAAAATTTGGTGAAATATTTGGTCACAAATATTACAAAAAGTGATAGTAGTAATTCTAGTTTTGTTCAGTTGTACATTTTAAGGAGAAGACAGATATTTTTAGTTTGAATAAGATGACATTGTACAGTAATTTTGGCAATGAAAATGAAATGGCTGATAGTTAAGCTTTTTTTTTTGTCTTTTTGGGACAGGGTCTCACTATGTAGTTTAGACTGGATTTGAGCTCAGACTGGACTTGTAGCCCAGGCTGGCCTCGAACTTGCAATGATCCTCCTACCTCAGCCTCCCAAGTGATGGGATTACAGGCATGCACCACCATGCCAGGCTGATAGTTAATCTTAAATCTCCATTTTAGCAGAGTCCTTGAGATATAATAAGTGTTAAGCAGCCCCATAGATAACATTGACAAGGAAGTATTTGGTTCTAAGAACTCCAAATTTTTGCAGATTCCTTGAATTGTTTTCACATGTCCTCACTTAGGTTTCTTCTAAGCAAATGAATTACATTTGTAAGGTAAAATTTGTTTGTTGTAAATAAGTTATATTTGTGTATTTTCATGAAGAGATTGTTATCTACATTTCAATAAAGTTCTTCTAAAGAATATCTAGAATGCTAGCAAGTTTTTGTGTAATAGACAACAACACATTTTATTCTTAATTCTTGACAGAATTTCTTGACAAAGTGGATTCAAGCCATAACATGTAGAAAAGTTGAGAAAACTGCTTTCCTACAGATGACACACTATCAGGGCTGTTAAAGGAATTTCTAATCAGTGCCCACAGGAGGGCAATGGGCATAGAAATATGTGCAGTCTCCTTTCATCAGTATAATAACACATGTTGAAGAAGATTACAAGCATGTCATTTAATCATATGTATCAATTTTTCCGTGTGTTATTTCTTAACTAAAATGCTATTGTCAATTATCAAGTCGCTGTCTCTTGGCACCAAATCGACCATCTGTGGTACTGGAGCTGGACTCTGTAGAGCTTCCCACTTTGCTACTTGTTTTGGGAAGATGTAGAATGTACATCATAGCAGGAAGAACCCTGTCTTCCCAGTCTGTGATGGTGAAACGTACTTGTGTCAATGTGATTGTCTCAGCAGCTACTGAGGGGTCAGTAAGTTACATGTTTCTGTGCGTCTGGGTAGGTAATGGAAGCCTGACCTTCAGTACTATATCTGGTTCCTCTCTGCTGCCTCTCTGGCGCTGTTCCTCTGTCTGCTTCTCTGCCAACATGGGTTGAACATCTTTGCCCTTCTATGGCACCCCACCATGACGTTCTTGCCTTCAAGCCTGCTGAAAATGGACCAAATCCCCTGAAACCATCAGCTAGATTAAACCTCCTTTGTAAATTATGAATTTTTGATATCATGTCTCAGTGACAGGAAAGCTGATGCATAGTCCCAGTGTGATTCTTCTCTTTTTGTTTCTGCCTTACAGCTGTGGGTGGCTTTGAAGTGGCTGTCCCATGGCATTCACCTCCAACAAATTTTATTTCCTTAAATTCCCTGTTTCCCATTTTCAACTAATCATCTTTGCCACAGCCTCATCCAGGGTGACCCAGAGAACCTCTCCATGTCCAAAAGGGTCCACATTCATACACTCCCCAAACATTCTGAGATTTACACTAGGGTGGCATATTCCTTTCTGAGGTTGTCTCCTGGAATGCAGTTATTCTTTAGAATTCTGTTTTTATCCTCTCAGTAACTAAACATTTATTACTAGTGTATCAGTCAGGGTTTTACTGGAGAAACAGATATAACACAAGATGTACAAATTATAAGGAATTACAAGATTGGCTTATAACGGTCAGCCAAAGAGTTGTATGGGGGAAATGTGCAGAGGGTATCTGCACACTGAAGACAGAAAGAATCAGTCCAGGGTCTGGAGTTTACTGCAAAGTCCTGTGCAAGTCCGCACCAGGAGGCTGATGAGTCTGTGATGGAAGGCTGAAGGATCCAAGGTGGAAGCCAAAGAGTCAGGAGGACTATGAGTCTGCGATGGAAAGCTGAAGGATCCAAAGCAGAAGCCAAAGAGTCTGCACTAGAAACCAGGAGACGAAGTCCAAGCTGAAGGTGAAGACTGGAGCTCCTCCAAAAGGAATGGAAGTACCTCTGTCGTTCTTCGTTACCCTTTTATATTATCTAGGTGATGATCCACCCTAGGGTGGCTCCTGTACACCCTATGGTGGCTCCTCTACACCCTAGAGTGTAGAATTGCTGAGCCAATTGCTGAGTCAAGTTTAGTTATGCTTCTAAACTTCTCAAGTTGACAATATCAATCAACCACTACAATTAGTTACTGATTTTTATAATAAATATTTCTCATTCAACTTACCACTGTGGTTTCTTACTGGGCTCTAACAATGTACTTATAAGTCTTTTGAAGATAAAACATTTAAAAGCATTTCTTTTATATATGTGTATATATATATATATATATATATATATAATTTAGGAGCTGGCAGAACATAACAATCTTAGTGTTTTATCTATTTATATACCAAAGTTAAGGTTATTTACGGCATGTTTTAAAGTAGAACAAATCTAGCATGTATTAACTGGATGATATAATTTGGTCAACTTTGAAATTTTCTTTGCTTTAAGTCAATGAACATAATTAACCAAAGGTTTTTTATTTTTATTTTTTATTTTAAAGAGAGAAAACATTTAAAACAATACAGAATTTCAAAGCAAGATAATAGGAAATTAACAATGGTTAATATATTGCATATTGTTATCCTCAAAGTAGTTGCTCAAATTGCAAGATGTAGGCATGCAAAATTGATCAAACAATATAAGCACAAAGAGTTCTTTTCAATGAACTAATAGAAATTAGTAGTATAAATAGCTATGTTGTGTGTGTGTATATATATATTTCTTTTCCCTTCCTTCTTTTCTCTTTTATCCCCATCACAGTTCTTTCCTGCTGAGTGTTTCTTCCCTTTTCAGAATATCTATCGCACACTTTGGATTTTATTTAGGTTTTTAGTTTCTTACACTAGGGAGACAATACAATGTTTACACATGCGAGTCTGATTTATTTCACTTATGAATATGATCTCCAGTTGCATCCATTTACCTGTGAAAGCCTCAAGATTGTCCTTCTATAAGCTGAGTAAAATTCCATTGTATTAAGATATTCCTCAGTTGATGGGCATTTGTGTTGCTTCCAAGATATAGCTATGACAAATTGTGCTGCTATATACATGGGTGCACATGTATTTCCATGGCTGGATGTTTTTAATTCTTCTGGAAAATACCCAGAAGGGTGATAGCTGGATCAAATGGAACGTCTAACCCTAGTTTCTTGAGGAATCTCCACAATGATATCCATAGTGGTCTCTTCCCCAACACAACAGTAGTGAAAGTTTCCTTTTTCCCCACACCATCTCCAACATTTGTGTTTGGTTGATTTTTTTTTTTGGGGGGGGTATCAGGAATCAAATTCAGAATCTCATGCTTGCCAGGAAAACACTGTACCACTGAGCTATATACCCGGCCCACTGGTTGATTTCTTGTTGAGAACCATTTCTTCTGGGGTGAGATGGAATCTGTGTTGTTTTAATTGGCATTTCTTGAATGACTAATGATGTTGGACTTTTTTTATAGATTTATTTGCCATTTGTATTTCTTCATCTGAGAAGTGTGTATTCATCTCAGATGCCCATTTTTGGAATGGGTCTTTGAATTTGGGGTGCTTGATTTATTTTCAATTATTTTTGTGTTCTAGATAGAAGTCCTCTGTCTGAGGGACAGTTGGCTAAAATTTTTCCTACTCTGTGGGTTTTCTTTTCATTCTGTTGGTGATTTCTTTTGATGTGCAAAAATTTTTTGAAAAGGTGATATCTTGGTGCCTTACTCCCACTGCCATGGTTCCCAGTTGAAAGTCGTGGAGAAAGCCAGGTATTTCCCATCTTCCTGGGGTCAGAGCAGGTGAAACACAGCCCCGCTGCCATTACAGACTGAGTCTCTGCCCTCCTTACAACCATGGTAGACAGGAGGCCCTCACTCAGAAGCCCCAGGGACTGCTGTAGCTGGGGGACATGTGTGGGCC